AAGTGAAAGCGGGACAATCAAAGTAGAATCTGAATTCTCTCAAGCAATACAGTTAAAGTTAAGGCAACAGAATTCCCTCCCTCCAGTTAGATATGGATTCTGTCAACTCGTAAAGCATTCCTAGACTCCTTTCAAGTTGCCATAAAGAAGGGGGAGGGAACCAGAAGGACATTCCATGGTGTAACCCAGGTTACCAATCCAGTTGGAAGGGTGTGATCTCCAAAGTCCTCTATGAAATTAGATAAGAAAGTTGGAAATATAATTATGACTGTGTATAAATGTTGTAACCTGGAATCACACTGTTCACTTGAAGAGATGTGTAAAAAGTTTTTTTTAAAAAACCTGCCCCCTCAACCCTGAGTCATGGCTATGTTTCAGTACCATCAGTCTTAGGTGGGTACATAAATCTTGGTTCCTTTCCAAGCCAATACTTCATTCATTGTCAAATCGGGTTGATGTTCCACAAACCATGGATTGGTTAAAAGTGCTTCTTTCAACTCAGTTGTCAGTTTGTCTTCCCCTGCTTCCTCTATCTCAGGCACCACCAACTTCACTTTAACTGTAAAGCGGGGAATGGCAGCACTCACCATGGGGGTATTCTTCTTCATCTACCTTTTCGGGGATTTCTTTGGCCGGAGATTCCTCATTCTCTTCTGTGGGGAGGAGACCCTCTACAGTGTGTCTAGCAAACCGGCTAGTGTCTGGAGGCTTTCGTGGAATTCTTCAGTCCCTCGCAGCCGTACTAGGCCTCGGTTGTGGAACAGGTGCAGGTGCCCTATGACCAGCCTGGTCACATCAACAGCACTTTATAATCCTTATGAGTTGGGTAGGAGCAGCTTCAGGTTTAGTCAGAGGCCATCTGGCCAAAGTTCTCCTAGGAGGGCCCTCAGAAGGGGGTTTTCAGTGTGGGTTGATTTCCCTGTCCAGCTTAAGGGACATGGCATACCAATCTTGTAGTTTCTCTGGTATTCCTCTGATGCTGCATGCTTTTTTTTTGACTTTTGGTTCAATAGTGTTCTTAAAATAGTGCAGAAGTATTCTGTCAGGCCAGTTTATGAGGTTGCTTGAGACCCTTCTAAAATCCCATACAAAGTCTTCACTCTCCCCTATTCTATGAGGGTTTTCAAACCTGGCCCTGAGCAGCTCAACAAATCCATCGGCATTTTGTAGTTCTGGGGCATCCTCATAGTATAATTGAACTACCCAATGAGAAACATCCCCCTCATTCATCCCATCTGTAATTGCGGAAACTAGGTCACGATCTGTTGCATAGTGGTTTCCAAATATTTATGTGACCAGATCCGGGTAAGAAAGTAAGGGAAGTTTTCATGCCGTCCATCAAAAGTTGCTTTGTAAGCCACTTGGTCTGGTCTCGGAGGGGGGATCACCATAGCAACTGTGAGCTGAGCTGGAATGTGTTGAGCTGGCTGCAGGAAAGCCCCCTGCAGTGGTATCCCAAGGGGCGGCTGAGGTGGGATTTGACGAGCAGTTGGGCATGCTGAAGGAAGGGGCCCTTCAGGGTTGCTCCGAGGAGTGGCTGGATTGGAACCTGCAGAATAGGTGCTATCTGCTGAATTCTTCTCCATGCTGGGAAAGGGTGGTGGTGGCCGCAGCCTGCTGCCTGCACTGATCCCCTTGCCCAGGAGGGATTGCTACTGCTCTTTGGGCCCAGGGTGCTCCCGAACTAGGTGGTGTAACTGGTGCTGGCATCCACTGGCATTGGATCCACCCCTGACCAGGATAGAATCCCCATCCTGGAGGAATACTCTCTACAGGGGGTAACCTTGCTGGCTGTGCAGGGGGAGAAATTGGGGGTTGTGACGTGCCCAATGTCGGCTGCATCTTCTGTCCCATCCTTTCTGCTTGGCCTTGCCGTGCTGGGCCGATCCTTAGGCCACCTTTGACTGATGCATGCTGGTTCCACTGTTAAGTCTTGGACTAGGGAAAGTGAACGTGAGCTGCGTTAGGACCCAGCTTGGCTGGAGAGGCTGTGGCTGTGAGACATAACTTTCCACCTTAAGTTGCTAGAATTGCTCTGGGATCCCTGCCAATGACTGGCTTCAGGATGAAGGCAACAGGTTCCAGTCTTGGGAGTTGTCTGATTCCAATGCCCTTAACACACCCCCCCCACACACACACACACTTCTCCACTCTGTCTCATGGGCCGTCCTCAGAGGGCTAGAATAGGAAAGGTGTTCAGGCAGCTCCTCCATGAATCCGTTCCCTTGGGCCGGGTACCTAGCCTTTGCCTTTTCTCTGCAGCTTCCATCACTTGCAAAAATTCTTTAGAATGAGGGCAGGGGGTCTCAATTAGTTCTCTGGTGTCCGGTCCCATAGCCCCTTCTGTAGCTTCCTCCCTTTCTTTCATCTTCACTAAGCCTTCGCACTGCTCCATTTTTTGAGTCAGTGCTGGGGCCCAGCACCCCTTTTGGGGTGCTGGAGTTTGTTTAGAGATTCAGGATAATGTCAGCATTCCAACAAACCTCCATTCCAACCAGTAACTCCGAGACAGACATCTCTCAAAAGTTCCTTTTATTTGGATAGCAACTGGCACATTTGTGTAATCCCGAATATGAAGTTCCGGGCTTCCTTGCAATAAGTAAAGACTACAAATCCATCTCCTATACCCATCACCACATCATATGGCCCAATCACCATCCATCCCAAAGTAAGACTTCCTTTTCACTATGCGCAACACTACTTGACCTTGAATCAACTAAAGAATTTTATTATGTCTAATTAGATATACTCCAATGAATTCCCCCCTCCCATTTTCCAAGGCTCAATTGTGGAGCGTGGGAGCACTGGATCTCAATATGGTTCCAAAGCTGACACAAATGATGTTTTGAGACCCCCAAAATGTACCAAGCAGACAAGCAGATGGGGAGAAGCAACTTAGTAGCTATGAAATACAGATGGTTTAGGGAGATCAACATGTAAGAAAATACCTTATTGACCTTATCTTTTTCTGAGACAATCTCTGGATCCTGGTACCTGAATTTTAAAAGTCCTGATACAGTAATTTATGCATTTATGTATTTCTCAAAGTTGTATGGCTGCCTATCCATCCAATGAAACAAGACCACTAATAAAAATCTGTTTTTCCAAAACAACATTGACCCAAAGACCTCCAGACCTCCATCACAGACCTCCAAGCCCTGATGGATATTAAGACTATCTACCTACCCTATTATAAACCCAGCTGCTCTGGAGACCCTCCCAAATTTTAAAATGTCTTTTCCAGAGAGTCTGCCTAGTTTCTGTTCTGGTCTTTTTAGCACCAAGGAAATATCTAAGGTTTTTTTGAGCAGGTATACAACTCCTGGTATTATTTACTATTCTGCCCTTATTTCTAACACTACAAGTTACTGAGACATAGGAAACTTAAGAAATCTGCTGCTCAAGACACAGGACAGTTTAGAAAGCTGCTACACAAATATTTAAAACTTTATTTGCATTGTTTTAGGCTTAAATGGATAAACAAAAGTAAAATAATAACAAAGTTGATGAGCCAAATTGTAAACTAAAAATTCTCTGAATTAGACACATAGAAACAAGAAGAAACTTGATTTATACATAAAGAACTTCATCTCTCTGTATAAAGAAACAGACCTATGCCAGGGCTTTTTATTTATTTATTATAAGGCTTTTGAAAAATATCAAAATGGATATCAAAAAGAAAAGCTTTTCTGGGAGAGAAAGGGGAAAGGATGGGATTCTTTGTATCATTGGCTGTAAAAAATCTCCTTTACATTTTTCCCTGGATACCACAATTCCACCTGTCCATGTTTTCAGTTGGTGTAAAATCAATATCTACTTTGGTGCGCTCACCTGCAACTAATCAACAGTGGGTCAGAATGATGACACTTGCAAAAAAGGGGTAGATAAAGATCATGCATTCACAGCCACCATCTTGATTTTTTTCATACCTTTCTGTGGGATGCCCCAGTGCAAATTCACCTTTATATGATTTTACCAATGTCCTGATTTCTCTTAAAATTATGTAAAGGTGCAGTTTGTGTTCTAATGCATATTTCACCGCTCAACCCTATTTCTAGATGCTCTTGTTAGCTTCTCATTGCCAGGCAATTAATTCTTTTAATAAAGGTTGTGTCCTGTTAAAAATTGTATAACAATACAACGACTACTTTAAAAAAATAACTAATAATATTGTCAATGCAGTTCTTAAGCAACTCACAGAGATATGGCCTGTCTTAAGTGATTAAACTAATGCCAAATTGATAATCTCTCTTTCAGTGTAGAATGACAGAAACTGTTGATATAACTACTTTAGCATCAATTAATACATAGCCAGGAATTTTTGATCACAAGATGGGAACAGCCATGAATACACAATATGGCCTATTCAGTATTGAATATCCACTTTAAGAAATGGATAGGTATACAAGCCTCGCTTATTTGATCACTAACTTGGTAGTGACTCTTTCTCCTGACCTTCAAGGCTATTCTCTGTGTCCCCTATAAATATCTATGGAGAGAAATGATATCCCCCATTTCATCCATATGACATTTCCAAATTCTTCACTTTGGGGATGTTCTGCCATCCCCAATTATTATTCTACCTGGTAAGACAAAAATAATAGAGCCACCTAGAGAAGCCCCATGGTGAGAGGTGGCAAATAAATTTAACAAATAAATAATCAAAGAGTAAGATTATTCAGAAATCAGATCTCTCAAAGAGGAAAAAATTAACTTTTGATGCATAACCACCTTGCCTCAAAACACAGGTTTTGTTCTGGGGGAAAGTGCCTGATGGCTTCTTCTTCTAAACCCTTTTCCACCATTCTTTCTGGTGATTTAGCAAAACACATATACACACATATAAGCCCAAAACTATTCACAAGAAAATCATTCTGCTCTTCTGTTGGTTTGGCACAGTGAGTTTTTCTCAAAACATAAAACTACTTTGCAAAACTGCCATCTCAGATAGCACCTCCTTGTATTTTTCAAAGCCAAATTAATATTTAATATATACCTACCTTGAGGGAAATAATTGGGCTGAACTATGCAGAGGAAAGCGTGGACAATGTGGAACAAAATCCCTATTGTTCCAGGCTCATAGTAAGCGTTGGTGTTGTATATCTTGTGAGGAACATACCCAAAATCTAGAGTTTCAGAAGGCATTTGAGGCAAAGGCTGCCGTTCAGAAATTGTTCTCCCACAGAACAATAAAAGAAGCAATAAATAAACTTCTCTAGCCATGGCTGACCAAATTCATAGACAGAGGCAGAAGGGAGGTGAATAACACCCTTGAGATGAGATGAGCTTTGCTGGGCATATACTTCAAAATGCTTTTCTCTGAGCTCTTCATAGGAATCTGATTAATAAAAAGAGAAAAGAGATGTTTAACAAGTATTATCTCATTCCTGGAAATCCCCATCCCATAATAAATATAATATCCTATGAAATTTAAATTATCTTGGTATCTTAGGAGGAAGCATATTGGAAAAGATATGTGCCCATTACTTAAGTCCTTTTATTACAAAGGAAAGAAGGAACCATCACTGGGTTCTCGTACCAAACTAAAATTTAGAATAAGCGTTCCACTGTTAACATTTTTTCATCATTAAAAATGGGGTCTGGGATTAATCAATCATTAACCTTTGGATCTACATTTACAGATACATTTACCATTTTAACAGGATAATGGCAATTAAAGTAATAAAGGTGGGATAAAAATTTAATAAATAAATAAAAATCTGTGTCTTTTTTTTCCCCTACGTCTCCATGCTGCACAACAATGCATCTGAAAAATCAATGCAATGGATTGTGGATTTCTCAGCAGAATTTCCAAACTGTGGTAAAGTCTCTTTCAAGTCAAACTTGGTAACTTCAAGAATAGGATGATGTAGTTTTCATGGCAACCAACCCAATCATAGGCTTCTGGAGGCAATTGATGCAGTGATGTGGCATCACCTTCTTCTGGAATAGGTTTTCAACTTCTTCTCAGTCTCCCATTCAAATATCAACCAGGGTTGACCCTACTTAACTTCCAAATCCAGAGAAGGGTTTCAGACCACTGACATTTGCTGATATGTAGCAAGTGATAAATCTTATACACAAATACATATTTTATTGCATCACACAATTGGGCTACACCTTAAAATGGAACATGTTGATAAATGTTCTCAGATTATTTCAACAATGATTTGTCAAATTCAAAATTTAAGCAAATAATATCTGCTGACCTTACTTTTGGAGTTACTAACAGTCAAGCTGGTAACATTTCCTCTGAAAAGATGTTTCAGTCATGTCCGTTTGCTCCAGACTGATTAATCAAAATGAAACCTGTCAAAACAAGGAGAGCATATATATACTTGATCTTAGCCAAAAGAAGCTAAAGGTTTGTAAGTGCTTTCTGCTTTTCAGTATACAAATGAATACTAACTTCATTGTGTTACGGCCTAACATTTTATCAGTATTTAGAAGATAAAATCATTTTGTCCCAAACTGGTTGTTTTCTCCTGCTACATTTCACATATTCCTAATTGAAGATGATTGTAGTAAGACTATATATTTAACATAGCGTATTGTGGAAATGTGGGATTGTTAATTCCTGAGTTTGAACAGTTTTAAGTAGAAGTTTTAATATCAGAGCATTTTAATACTATTTTAATTTGCATTAATGAAATTGGTTTTACATAGTTTTTAAATGGTTTGCTGTATGACTTTGCTGTTTCCCAGTTAAGCAATCAGTTTTTTGTTGGAAACCCTCTTTAGAAGAATACACATAAGGACATCCAAAAATGATGGTCTTAAAACTGAAAACTGATGATGTTTACATTATGAAATGCCTCATAATTAGCCAATTAAAATAGGAGTACAGGTGATCCTCGACTTACATTTGTTTAGTGTACATTCAAAGTTACAACAGCACTGAAAAAAGTGACTTACAAGCATCACAGCATCCCTAGTCACATGATCAAAATTCAGGCACTTAGCAATTAGCATGTATTTATGATGGTTGCAACATCCTGGGATCATGCCATTTGAGATGTTCTCAGCTGGCTTGAATGAAACATGCAAAGTCAATAGTGGAAACTGGATTAGTTTAACAACCACATAATCCACTTAACAACTGCAGTTATTCACATAACAAACATGGCAAAAAGATAGTAAAATCTGGGCTACTCACTTAACTGTCTTGCTTAGCAATGGAAATTCTAGCCTCAGTTGTGATCAAGGGCTTCCTTTACAGATAAGGGAAGAATGGTGACCCTTAAATCAACTCCAGAAGAATAGTTTGCACTGAAAACTGGTTTGCATTATACTCAGTTACTAACACATCAAGACTAATCGGAATAAAATCAGTTATTATTCATAAAAGCTTCCCTTGAACAACACCGTGCAAAAAGAAACAAAAAATTATTAATCGACATTAAGGCATTCCCTGAAAAGGTCAAAGGATTATGCATAGTTCCTAAGACACTAGAGAGGCACACAAACTTTAAAAATAAAGTAAGCTATCATTTGCCATCGGTTTGGAAATCTGGAAATTTGGAAATCCTATCTTCCCGCTTCGGTTAAGTCCTGTCCAGAGTAACAACTATGTTTGGTATTTACACCAAGGTCATTCATTCCATAACTGCATCCTTTCAGATTTGTCTGCTCAACTCCAGGGATTTCAATAGCTCCTAAGCACCCAGAATGTCGTACTCTCACCCACACCAATAGTAGGAAACAATGCTTCTCAACCGTTGCAACCTGAAGAGGTGTGGACTTCAAGAATTCTCCATCAGCTCTGGTGACTAGGAGTTCTCAGAGTTGAGGTCCACCCATCTTAAAGCTGCAATAGTCAAGAAACACTGGTGTATAGTAAGAAATGGAGCAATGATGAACTAAGCTCTGGAACAAGCATTTTGTATTTTAATTGCAAAACATAACATGATTTTATACCCTGAGAAAATTTGGCTACTCAGAAAAACAATCATGCAAAAATGAGATTGAAAATTATTCATCAGCCAATTACTCAATCATATATTTTTAAAGCATTAGAATACAATAGAGCTGGAAGGGGCCTTTGAGATCTTCTAGTCCAGCCCCCTGCTCAAACAGGAGAACCTATACCATCTCTTCTTAAAGACCTCCAGTGATAGACCGCCCACAATTTCTGGAGGCAAGTTGTTCCACTGGTTAATTGTCCCTCACTGTTAGGAAGTTTCTTCTTAATTCCAGGTTGCTTCTCTCTTTGACTAGTTTCCAACCATTATTTCTTGTCCTGCCCTCTGGCACTTTGGAGAATAATCTCTTCTTTGTGGTAGCCCCTCAAATACTGGAACATTGCTATCCTGTCATTCCTAAACACCATTAAACAGAGACCTCAATAGAAACTCTGCAATCAGGAGGTATATTTTAGGAAAGAATAAAAATAATAAATGCCAGGGCTAGTTAATTTTTCTGCTTCATGTTCAAGAAATTGGCATTAGCAGCCAAGGACAGAGTAAAGCAGAGTTGCTTAGCTCCTTCTGAAGTTAACCAGAAATCACCCTTACTGTCATGTCACCAACTTCACCATAGTTATTTTGGTTTATTCAACTAACTCAGTTCTTCTAGAATATATAGCACCACAAATCATGGCAATGTATATTATAAGCTAACACCTGGTGGAAGGGTTTTACAGACATTTTGAAGCCAAAGTTGGTTGTGTAATGTAGAGATTAGGGTGCATGATCCAAACACAGCCAGTGAATTGCAAAGAGGGAAACTATAAAACAACATTCCAGGTAATTATCATCATCAGGGTTATGACTGACTTTTTGAGTGAGGCAGCTGTATTATAGCCTCTGTTTAATGATCTTGGCTTCAAGTGATATTTTTGGTGAGGTTCATCTCTACAACTTCTTTGTTATTTTTGCAGTCCATGCATAATAGTCATTCCAGCACCATATTTTAAAGGCATCCATCCTTCTCCTATGTACATTTTTCAGAGTCCAGGTTTCACAGCCATAAGTAGCATTTGGAAAAAATACTGAGTTAACTAATCTGTGTTTGGTTGTGACCCTGATGTCTTTACTCTTCCAGATATTATTTATGCCAGACATTGCATTTCTTCAAAGTGCTATTCACCTTCTGATTCATCTTAATTCGTGAAATTCTTCCCATCAATGACAAATCTAGTTTTTCCCATCTATTTAAATCCAACTTTATCTCCCTCTATATTTTAACATAATTATTTTTATTTATTTTTATTTCAGACTATACCGATATTAAAGATTTTTTTTAAACAGTGACAGAAAGATATAACTAAATTTATTTGACAAAACAAAAAACCAAGAATTAAATATAAGCTTTGACAGGATGCTAAAGAAAGAACAGGTCTAAATTTAGATGTTTAGGTTTATGATATTGTTGTTTGGTATGGTAAAAAGATTAGAGAACTTTGAAAAGTTTCAGGTTGTTAGATCTTGAAGGTTCTGATTTGAGATTTGGTATATAGCAAAGAAAGAAACTATGAAGATGGGTTTTTTTTCCAATCAGAAAATCTTTGCCTTCTTGGACTAGTCAAGGCAAAACTAGACAACTGTTATCCTGCCGATCCCAGATTCCAAACTAAAAAGAAGATAAAAGTAAAAACTTAATAAAACTATTTATTATTAGTTCATTCCAAATATGAATCCCTATACAACAGAATTCACAAGCAACAAACTACATTCCGACAGCATTATTGATATCATTTATGATAATCTGCATCATGATGTAATTCCCCCCCAATGGTGTCGTTTTTATTAGGAATAACAGACACCATCATCACCACCAATCCATTTGGTCTTGTAATATGAATATTGATCAGCGATTGGTTCAGCACATAAGCTTCATTTTATACAAAAATGGTTCCTTTAAGCTTGAGACAGTGATATATATGTAGTCTATGACTTACAATAGTTCATTTAGTGACCGTTCAAAGTTACAATGCTGCTTTAAAAAGGGACTTATGACCATTTTTACACTTACAATATTGCAGCATCCCTGTAGTCACATGATAAAAATTGAGATGCTTGGCAACTGGTTCATGTTTATGATCACTACTTATCCCAAGGTCACGTGATTCCTTTTTGCAACTTTTGACAAGCGAAGTTACTGAGGAAACCAGATTCACTTAACAACCATGTTACTACATTAACAGCTGCAGTGGTTCACTTAATTGTGGCAAGAAAAGTCATAAAACAGGGCAAAACCCTTTAACAAATGTTTCCCTAACAACATAAATTTTAGATTCAATTGAGGTTGTAAGTTGAGGACTAGCTATACTGAATGCACATATATGCTCTGTTAATACAGCACTTAATCAGGGATATGGGGCAAAGGAGATGGTCAGAATCTGTAAGATGGCGGGCACAGCATTGTGATCAAGCTCCTGAATGTACACAAAATGGATGCGGCTTCAACAATGACTCCATGCCCACTATCCTGTTGATATTGCAACAGATCTGGTAGTCATTCTACATACTGGATAGCTTCTCTGTGATTTAAGTTTGAAGCAGTTCATATTAACAATCAGGTATCCCTGAAACAGGGATTTAGTAAAACCATTTTCATAAAGTGAAGATATGGCAAATAACCACCCTAAAAATCAGCCATTTTTGGTGAAAATGAAGAGTTACAAACTTCTCATCATGTTTTGAGCTAAAGTCTCTCCAGTGTGAATGCAGGGAGAAACTTCGGCAGGCTACTTTACACAAATATGCTGTGTGAATGATGAAATTGCTTATTTTAAGGAGGGGAGAGCTGGCTACAGGTCCCTGGCAAAACCCATTGTTATAGTCCTGTATTTGATCCAGAAATGCAATGTTGTTTGCACAACTTTCATCCCTGGTCTACTATAGGCCATTAATTAACAAGCATGACCAGGGCTGTTTGCATATTGAATTCTGGCCTGAAACTTGGCTAAAAGCGGTCAAGATTCCCCTGGACAACTTTCTCTAAAAAGGGAAGGTTGGAGACACTGTCCGATCCACTGCATGGACCCAACTATGGATCTCCTCTCTGGACATCTAACAATCCAGGAACAATCCTAGGTGCAACAAACCAGTGGCCAGACTGAGGGGCACAGAGAACTCTGTCCACTTCTTCAGAAGTTGCTGCCTCAAACTCATTCCAGAGTCCAGACCATACAACTAGACTTGTTTTCTTGACAATCCTGTGAAGTAAACTGGATTGAGAAGGAGGGGTATTTCCAGTCTCACACCTAACCATCCACAACTCACACTGTTCTGTAATACAATAATTCTATATACAAATTTGACTGCAGTTGTGCAAACAGGAGCATTTATATCTCAATACCAGTTACATTCACAGGTTGAGCCTACCCAGGTCAGTGACAGAACTGGAGGCCCACTTGCATAGTCGCAGTAAGCTGATTAGTGCTAACTCGGGTTTTCTTGAGGGAGAGTAGTTTTTGCAAATCCAACCCCTTTGCTAACTCTATGGCTCAATGCATAAGAATTGAGGGTTAATTGTATAATTAAGTTAAATGTCTCCTGGGAACGCAGCTCTCCCTTGAAAGGTGACCAAGGAAACAAATCAGATATTTCTAATCATGGAATTCATGCTCATCTGAATCCACACAATTTTACAGGACGTAAATCGTCGGGATGCGTGCGCGCAAAACTCGCGTCCTCTCACCTTTTTGTTTAAAAGGTCCTGTCCTTTTTTCAGAGCCAAGCCCTCACGCACTCCGGCGGGACTGGTCAAGCCAAAAAGCCTTTCCCCCAAGGCGAGATGGCCGGGTGTCGGAGCTGTATTTCCTCGCCCGGCTTTCCCAGTTCTCAGCTGCCCTGGAGAAACGCCCCGCCGAATTAGGATCCGCACTCTCCCCGGTGAGCGGCTTTGCAATCCAGCGCCCGCGGACTCCCTCGAAGAGTCTTGGACGTTTCCCGGAAAAGCCCGCGCTTCCTCGCGAGTAACCCAGCGGAGCACCCCCGGGCAGCGGCAGCTCCGAGCACGCCCACCGCGCCGGGATCCTTTCTTCCGCAGAACTTCAGCGCATCTATTCCGGGAGCCGGGCCGAAGCCCCCCCCCCCCCCTGGCACTTACCCACCGATGACCCACCCCCCACCCCCGGCACCGCTCGGCTCCTCTCCGCGCGCAGCAACAACTGGGCGGCAGCTCAGCCGCGCGCCCGCCGCTCGTCCGCGGCCGATTCCTTAGTGCGCGCCTGCCCGCCCCGCGGTGAGCGCGCCTGGGAAAAGCGGGGTTGGGTAGGGCCGGGCGAGGTTACACCTGTCAACCCGGTGCCGGCTTGGTCGGGACCGCGGGATTCAGTTTGGCGACCCGCTCCGAGATTCCGACGCCAATGCCACCGTCGTTCGCACAGCAACCGGGAGGAGCCGGTCGGGCGGCCCAAGCCGGTCCCGGGGGACTGGGGCAGTGGGGGCGAAGAGCATATGGGCTCTGCCCCACGGCATGAGGACCAACCCAGGCTCTGCCCCGCGGCGGCTGAGCGGCTGGGCTGCGGTTCAGGGGAGCTCAGGCGAGCGCGGAGGTTCCCAAGGTGCGGCCGGAGGCGGAGATGTGGGCGAACCCAGCTTGCAAAAGGAGGATGCTCCTCTGGCGCGCAAAGCAGGGGTAGTGCCGAGTGTGAAGCCCTGATTAACTTGGTGAGATGCTGTTGGTCTCACATACACTACACACCCCAGTGAGCAGGCTGGAAACACAGGGGGTCCTCTTCCCTTGGCTCTATTTAAACACACACACACACACACACACACACACACACACACACACACACACACCTTAATAGGAGAAGCAGTATTTTTGCTGCTCCTAACCTCCGTCTATGCCCGACTTGGCAGATAAAGGAGTCAAAAGTCATTTGTTTCCTGGAAGTGAAGAAAGTCGCCAAAGGAAATCAGTCCCAAATGTAGAGAAGAGCTTCTGCAAACTCTTCAAGATAGGACAAAAGCGTTTTCCAGCAGCTCCTGGAGCACAGAAATACTGGAGAATGAAGGCAGAACAGCGAGTGATTCACAACCTCTGAGCCAAAGATGGTATTCAGCAGGTTCTGACCTCTGACTGGAGATTTTACAGTATCCTTCCCCTGCCATGCCCACCAAGTCACGCCCACAGAACCGGTAGTAACAAAATTTGAATCTCACTACTGCTCTGAGCTCCTGGGATGGTTGAAATTTGGAGCGTGCCTTCACAAAATCGCTGAAAAATGGTAGCCCTTGAAAAGGAGACAGCTGAAGGTGGTGGTTTCTTTGCAACAAGCAACACCCACCCCACATACACACACTATTTACGTATATGAAAAGATCTTTTGAACTATAGGGGAAAAAAATCTGATAAAGCTAGAGTATTGATGGCTTAACCAGGTATTAAAGAATGTGAAAATATCTCCATTTCTTCTGGGGCCTTTTCGTTTGCAGCCTTTTCTATATTTTTACAAATATAGAAAATATATCAAATATGTAAAGGTTTCTCCACATAAATTTAACATATTTTCTTTGTTAAAATATCTTTGAACATTTCAGATATGGACACTGGACAGAACTGAATTTATATCATGCAGATAAATTCATCTATAAAATAGCAGGAGTTAATTTTTTAACTCTGAGTGGAATCCTGTGCAATATAAGCTGCAAAAGTGAAAGCTTTTGGTCTTTCAAGGTATTTACTAGCAGAACATTGCAAAATATAGAATAACAGGGTGGGAAAGGACTTAAATGATCTTAACATGCCCTGATGATGTCTTGCCTTGTTAAAATAAGAAGGAAAAGTCTGCCATAATACTGCTGCAGCTAAGGATGATTTCTGCCTGCCTCACATCTATATGAATGAGATGAAGGTTATGCTACAAGACTGAACAGTGGAAGGTTAACACCAAACCTTGAATGGAATTGAACTCATTCTCAATTTCCAAACATATGTATAGTTAAGGGTTATGGTCGCATGTGGAATGGGATGACTCGATGTTGCTAGCTCAACGCGGCCAACTGGGGGCAACCTTGCCACCGCCAAGTCCCCTCTGCCAACTGCTGCGGTGGTGCAGTGGTTAGAATGCAGTACTGCAGGCTACTTCTGCTGATCACTGGCTGCCAGCAGTTTGACAATTCTGGTCTCACCGGCTCAAGGTTGACTCAGCCTTCCATCCTTCTGAGGTCGGTAAAATGAGGACCCAGATTGTTAGGGGCAATATGTTGACTCTGTAAACTGCTTAGAAAAAGTTGTAAAGCACTCTGAATCAGTATACAAGTCTAAGTGCTACTGCTGCAATCATTTCTTTGCAGGATATCTCAACATCAGAAATTCACTGCGGGGATAACTTGCTGCGGGCGACAGATGGAGAGTTGGGTGAGTGAGTGAGTGAGCAAGTGGGTTGTCAGAGGGTGGCAGTGATGGGAGTGGTGCTGGATAGAGGGTGGGTGGGCAAGCGAGCAGGGTTGTCAGGGTGGTAGGTAGGCTCCAGCCTGAATGCCGAACCAGCAATTTGGCTGCAGTGGGAGATGGGGCAGTGGCAGGCAGGGGCTTCCTATTTTGACATCTGCTACTGTTGCCTCCTTGCCTTGAGCTGTGCCAGATGGGAAGCAAGCAAGCAGTCTGTCAGACAGCAGAACAACAGCAGCACAACAGCAGCATCAGCACTAAGTGAGGTGCATCCCATTTTGACCCCCTCATCGCCACCATTTCCTCTGCCCCTTAGCTTCAGACTAAATGCCAAATGGCAGTTTGGCTATGGCACTGTGCAGGGCAAGTTTTTTTAAAAAAGTACTGCTACCATGGGTTTGCAAGGGTTTTTTCTGCAATTGTTTTTTTAAAGGGCACCACAATGTTGCAATTATTATTATTTTTTAAATACACCTTAGTAAACTTTTATTACATTAAAAACAAAAAATGTATCACTCAACAACAGCAATTTGTAGTGATTCTCTTATGACAATAATTTGTGCGTTATTTACAGATATTAAGTTATGCATAATTAAATTCTTATTTTATCTATTACTTATGGTTAGTAACTATTTATCTTTAATCTATCTCCGTTCTATCTAGTTATACCATTGTTCCCACACTTTATAAAATATCAATGTCTCTTTGTCTTTTAAGCTCAACGTTAAATTATCCATTTCTCGCAGTTCATAACTTTTTGTATACAATAATTTTGTATAACAAGTTTCTCTGAGAGTATGCATAGCTGTTTCCAACATTGAGCAAAGGCAATCCTGGCAGCAGTTATATGTGTAATAGTAAATATTTTGTACTCTTTACATATTTTTTGGAAGATCCCGAATAGGAATCAGGTCCTGGCATTTTGTTACTTTTCTGGGATCGAATTGCTTGATTTAGTTCTGTCATAGTTATGTCTTTAATCAAGGTTTCTTTCAGTTCATCTTTTATTTCTCAAGTTCTTTTTTCTCTTAGATACTCCCTTAATCTGATCCACATCTACTCTTTCTTTCTTGTACAGATTCTCAAAATATTTATGTGCAATCTCTTTTTCCTTCTCTATTGTGTGTTGATAATCTCCATTTTCATCCTGTAATTAGTAGATGATTCTTTTCTTTCTCTTTTTTAAGCTTGTAAGACAGCCATTTTCCTGGCTTGTTTGCTTGTTTGAAATATATTTGCTTGGTTGCCTTCAAATTTCTAACTAATTCTTCCTGTTCAGCTAAGTTTGTGTTTGTAAAGAATCAATTGTTCTTGTTGTTGAGCATTTTGTGGGGTATTCTGTAATTTAGTCTCTAATTTCTTAATTGTTTGGTGTAGATTGTTCTGTTGGGTATATTTTTCTTTATTTTATTTTTTTGCAACATAGGATATTATAATTCCCCATATAACAACTTTCATAGTATCCCATAAGTTTTGGATAGTGTATATTGATCATTATTTTCTTTAAAAAAAGAAATTTAGTTCTTCCTTGAGTTTCTTAATAAATTCCTCATCTTTTAATAATTGAGAGTCTAGAGTCCATCTGTTCCTTGATTTTTTTCTACCTTTCCAACTAATTCTGAGTGGGTTGTGATCTGCCCAAAAGTTCGATAAAATTTCTACATCTGCCACTTCTTCTGCTAACTCTCCGCTCATCCAAGCCATGTCAATACATGACCATGACTGATGGGGATTTGAATAGAAGGTAAATTGTCTCTTTTCTGGATTTAGTTTTTTCCATATATCTATTAAATTTAATTCTTTGATCATTTCTACACATATTTTAGGTAGTTCTCTTTTTCCCTCTTTTCTTATTTCCCCCCTTGTAGTCTTTTTGATAGTCTGCTATAGCATTATCATCTCTTATGATGCAAATTTTTTCCTTTCCAATTCAATAATTTTATCATATAGGGCTTTATAAAATTATTTTTGTCATTGGGGGCATAAATTACCACTAATAATTTTTTAAAAAATTTATCTGTATTTCTATTGCCAGAATTCTTCCTTTGGGGTCTGCAAATATTAAGTTTCCCTTTCTCTCTTCTTTGATGTAAACAGCTATTCCTTTCTTTTTTTTCATGGTCTGCCGCAGCTGTAAACAGTGTCCCTAATTTGGGGTAATCTAAATATTTTTCATCTGTTTTTAGGATGTGTGTTTCCTCTAGACATGTAATATCTGCATTTTGTTTTATTAACTTTGCCAAAATCCTTTTTCTTTTTGTCATTGAGTTTAAGCCATTTATGTTAACAGATAAAAGTTTCACCTCTTTTTCTATAATCCTAATTGTATCTAGTGTTTTGTCTCCTGATCGCTCTTATTTCCCTTTGTGTTCTGTTCATTGGTTTAGGGTCTCCTCTTTCCTGATGTTGCTGATTAGTTGTTGTTTTTTTACTTCTTCTTCTTCGTCTTTTTTTTTTGTTGGTCTTGTTCTTCTTCTTGAGATTTTGAGTCTAGATCTTCTTTGCTGCTTTGATCCTCCGAGCCAGCCGGTTGCTCATACAATTCTTGTGCTTTTTCCAGAGTGTCTATTTTGATCTTCCTTTCTTCCCAGTAACCAGCATTCCTTCTGGAATCAGCCAATAGAATAGAATATCTCGCTTGTTCAACTGTGTAGCCAAAAATTTATAGTCCCTTCTCTGCTTCCTTACTCTTCTCAGGATTTGTTTGAGAATCTGGATCTCCTTTCTTTGGTATACCATTGCTTCTTCTCTGGATATGTCATATATTATGTCTCAAACTTTCCTCCTTG